GTTACTTAATGTGGTGCATGCCACAGAACAGCACATTCGCTTGAAACTGCATTTATTTAAATTCCCAATCTGTGCGATTCCATTCACTTTTTTTTTTTTTTTTCTGAATAATTCTTGGACATGAATGCTGTATCTGAATTAGGAAATAACACATGTATGGCACACATATGTATACACATAGCTATGCAAATTAGGATGGGATATCAGTTGTTCTTTCCTGGTAAATGGCAGAAGGTCACAGTTTGGGATTATCCATCCTCGTAGCAAAGTGCACCACAGCAAATGGGCCAGCCTAGAAGCTTTTTAGCAGTGTTTGTGCTTTGGGAAGAGCTTTATGGCTTGGGGAAAAGCTGCAGAGGCAGGTTAAGGTTTTCTTCCATCTCCCACAGGCTCCAGGGGTATCTAGGAGTATGTCACTAACAATAAAATAAAAAATACATGTTATACATAACTTTACCAATTTGCATAAAAAAAAAGAAAAGCCATTTGTTCAAAGCATCATTGCTTATAAAGATGGTGAAATGTTAAACTAAATCAAATCTGAATTCCATGACTGATAGAAAAATAGATATTGCCAGCAAAATTTTCCTGGATAAAAACATGTTGTACAGTCAAAACATATACATATAGGTATACATAAATATAAGTATAAATATATATATATGTATAAAAATGGTTAAATATAAAAAGAATGACAAATGTCATGGCAAATGCCTAATGTGTCCACAGTTGGCAATACCCCTTCTTGTGTGATACTAACTATTGTTAGTTAAAGTAGAAAAGGAAAGAAAAGACATTGAAATTAAGCAATGCTAACTTGTAGCAGAAAGGAAAGATCTAGGCTTCTGACATTTCTGTCTCATGTAATAATAGGTTTCGGTTCATTCTATTAAAATATCAGAGCACGAATCACTTGAAATTTCATATCATAACAGATTTTCCCAGAAATATTTGATGTCAGACTCTGTGTTAGTATTTTTAATTTTTTTTTTCTCAAGAGAAAGGGTCTTATTTCATATGCCTCTGGAAGTAAAACTGTTACAAAAGGAGCTCTCTTGAAGTTCTGTAATGGTTGCAGTTTTGAAAAACAGGAAATAAAGCTAAGTAAATGGAAAATTTTATAGTTTGCAAAAGCACTTGCTGAGAGCTTTTTATGTCATGCTATTCCCTGATCTCATGAGAGCTGACAGATCTTAGAACAAGAGGGAAAAATAATTGCCTCAGAACCACTAAAGTCATAACTACATTTCCTTCAATTTCCAGGAAGCTGTCTTGAGCAATAGCAGAATAGAAAACCCCACGAAACCAGTAAAAAAACTCGGTCCCTGATTTCAGTCAACTAGTCATGATGTTTTAAAGTTTACATTTTGGCTGAAAGAGACTTCTTATGAAATCCTGATGAAATTCCATCAATATTTTCAGAAAATACAGAAAAATAAAAAATCTGGTTTTTTTTTTAATTAAAAAACCCTAACCCTCAGAGCACAACTTTATTTTAGAAACTACATTTTTCTTTAAAATATACCTAAGCTAACTCCTCATCTAGATTTAAATACTCAGACAAAAATGAATATTTTCTTTCAGATAGAACTGCACCTATTGCTTGCTACAAACTTACTAGGAATGGTAGTATGGAACAACGTCATATTTTGTTTAAAAGCTAGCAGTCTGGGGATTTTTCTATATTTCACATCAGCCTGCCATTTCTAATGCAAATTATTTCATAGCTCTGTATGGAGCATACCTTTTTCTGATGCCCACTGTGCATTCAGTATTAATATTGATTGTGAATTAATATTTAATGTGAATATTGTATTAATATTATTGATCAACATATTTTAATTTAATTTTAATTTAATTTTAATTTAATTTTTTACTGGTTACTCCTGTTCATTTTTGCATATTCATTTCAAGGATAGCTCAAATTTAAGGATAGGTTTGCTTTTAATAAGGGCAGAATTTTCAGAATCGCTTTTAAAATTGAACTTTATGTCTTGATTATAGAATGGAAACGTTTTCAATACTAATATTTCTCAACTGTATACTACAGCATTAATACAAATATATCCTAAAATAATCATGGAGAAAATATTATCCTAGAATCATAGGATCGCAGAATGGTTTGATTCAGAAGGAGCCTTAAAGATCATCTAGTTCCACCCCCCCTTTCATGGGCAGGGACACCTTCCACTAGACGAGGTTGCTCAAGGCCCTCTCCAACCTGGCCTTGAACACTGCCAGGGATGGACCATTTGTCACTTCCTTGGGCAACCTGTTCCAGTGCCTCACCACCCTCACAGTACAGAATTTCTTCCTTATATCTAACCTAAAACTTCCCTTTTAATTTTGATCATCTCTTTTGTTTATCATCGGATATTGGTAAATGACAAGCATGTATTTAATAGAAACTCTCTTTATCTTGTAATTAGTCAGCTCAAATACTCTTAAATACAGGTAATGTTCCTGTGTGGATCCAAACCTGCACAGCAGAGCTTTTCCATATGCTGATGTCATGGTTTAAACCCTAGCCAAACAGCTTGTTCACTCACTCCCAGTGAGTGGTGCTGGGCTGAGAGCAATTGAGCCCCCCCCGCCCCCCGGGGCTCTCTCCTTCCCCGCTCCTGGAGGAACGGGGAGGAGGATCGAAAGAGTGCAACTCCCACGGGTTGAGACAAGAACAGTCCAGCAACCAATGTACAACACAAATCACCACTGCTACTATCAACTGCAACAGTGATAAGAGAAAATAACAAGGGAAGAGGATACGATACCACCGGCCAAGAAATGAGTCCCACCCGGAAGCCCATGTCCTTCCGGGTAACTCCCAGTTACCCCCCACCCTGGGCATGACGTGCTGTGGTATGGAATACCTCCTTGGCTAACCTGGGTCAGGCACCCTGTCGCTGCTTCCTCACGGCTTCCCCTCCTCCCTGGCAGAGCATGAGCCTCACAAAGTCCTTGGTCAGGGTAAACATCACTTAGCAACCACCGAAAACATCGGTATCACCAGCACTGTTCCCAGGCTGGAAGTCAAAACACAGCACTGCACCAGCTACCATGAAGGAGAAAAATGACTGCTGCTGCTGAACCCAGGACAGCTGATTAAAAGCATCTGCAGACATCATCTGTAGACAGCAAAAGCTTATCTATTTTTTTGCTACCATGAACATCAATCCTGGCTGGTAGATTACGGTCAGTTTCTGAAACATGTTCAGTCTATCCCTCTTCTCCCTGGTAGGTCACCTACTCCTTCTCTGAGGGGGTTTTGAAGCTTGTCTTGGCAAGATGGAAAGAGATGTTACAGAAATCACCATTAAAAATTTTAAATCCCAGTCATAGTTTGCCAGAGGGTGCAGAGTTTAAATGGATAAGGTTTTTTGGCTTCAGGTTCCAGACCCTGCCATGGCTCCCACCACACTGCATATTTTTGTAAAAGAGGCCAGGGCCACCTGTCTTTATCCCATGGCAATAGTGGCTCACCTGAACTGAGAGTTGAAAGGAATGTTCCACAACAAACTCCTGCTAGGAACACAGAAATGATTGTCCAGGGCAACTAAACAAAACATTATGAGAAAAGTTCTTTTTCAGAACCACACGAGAAAGAAAAAATAATAGAAATTGGTGAATATTTTCCCTGTGTTATCTTGCTTTTTAATTATGATTATGTTTTAAATTAATACATGCCAGAAGTAAATATTTTCTTTTTGCTTGTTTTTACACCCAAAACAGCAAAGAAAGAAGTAAAAGTACACGGTAAGTCCTGAAAGTCAGTAAGTTTTAGAGTCTTATTTATATTGTATTATTATTATTTATATTATATTTTAACTTGAGACAGGATTAGGTAAATTGACAAAAAAACGAAGCCAGAGATAAATATTTGATCATAGTTACTTGAGCAAGTGTATGGCTGTGGAGCAGACATACAGCCGTTTGGTCTTCCAGAACTAAGATCTGATCAAATGGTGCTGGGAAGAACAAGGGTGAGAATTTTTTATTTCAGCTTTTACAAGATTTAGATTTCTAAGGAAGGGGAACTGCTTTGAGGTTACAGGAAATGTTCTCCAGGATGGAGAACAAAACACAAGATAAGAGCTTCAGAGTGTGGAGCAGAGGAAAAATTTAGATTGTTTAGTTTGTATTTATTCCAAGTACCAAGCATTTCATTGTTGTAGCTTGGTGCTCTTCTTATTCCTAACTGGAATCTGCTTCTACAGTTTATCCAAATTTGTGAGAGCATAAAGATTTTCAACTCCCTTTGCAGCCAAGCTTGATGACTCATTCATCAGATGACTATTTTCTCAGACATAAATTCTGAGCAAAAAAAAAACCCTACTGTAGACTGTCAATTTATAGAAAAATGACTCTGTCCTTTTCCATAGCAGAAAAATCTGTTACAGTGCTTCAGAATGAAGGTGTGAATGATGAAGAAAGAAAAATGTGTTAGTTCAAGTAATTTTGATTCAGCTAATGCAATTATGAAGAATAATAAACAAAACTGAAAAAAAAAAGATCAAGGAAGACTATTAAAATTGGATATTCCCTTTTTTATCAATACTAGAAGAGCTCTGTGGTTTGAGCTTTCAATAAACTAAAAAGAAGAAAAACAAAATCCTTAACTTCCAAAAATTACTGAAATTGTTAAAAGGAGATTTCTATTGCATGCCCATGTTTGGTATGTGCCTACTCTGAAACCTGCTTTCACTCCTTCTCTCAGCCTCACTACTTGAAAATCGTGGAGATATTGAAGTTCCATATATAACTTACCTATTGACCTTGTTTTCCACTGCTTTTAGTCTGCAGGTTAATCAGTCATCTGCCATGAGACTATCCAAAAAAATGACATATATGTGTGTCAGTTTTTGTCTGCATTAAAAAAAATGAATGCCTGCTCTACGTAGAGAAGTAGCATATTGACCAAAGGAACAGATGTTAGGATCAATCATAATTTCTTTATGCATTTGCAAAATTTGTTTCCTGGAATGTTTTCTTTTATTTTACAGCATCTGTGGAAACTCTGAAGTCAAAAGGTGGGTTACTTTACTTGTTTTTAAGATGGAAAGGGAAGAATGCTGTTGTTAATTCCACTGTTAATGAAGGAGCTTCTTGTGACAAAACTGCTGGCAGGTGTGAATTATCTAAGACAAAGTGGACCTTTTAAATTGTATCAGCTCCTTCCTTGCAGGACCTCAAAGCAGCTCTACAAAAAAGGTGTCTTTTCTCTGAGTTGTCCATGGACTAAAAAAACTGTAATTCTCTGTCTATATCAAACTCAGTTTCTAACCCTAACTCAAACTAAAAGGCTTTTGTTAAAGGCAGAAAGAAGTAACCAACCTTCTATAGAGACTGGCACTTCTTGCCAGTCCAGCTGCAGCACAAACCCAGTGCCTGAATAGTTTTTTTTTTACTGAGACTAGGAATTTTTACAGTGAGGTTCAGTGAAAGAGTTTTTATGTTCCTTTCATGTAATAACTGCTGATGGTAGAAGGTGGGAGTTGTGGGAGCATCAGTGCTTGCTCCAAGGGTTGCTTGCTCCTTTCCAGAAGGCACAGAAAGCTGAGACTAGTGAGGAACATCAGGGGCTTAAGTCTGAGCTGAGCAAATGTTTAATTGTTCATGCCGGTGTCTGACTTCTACCATATATACAATGCAAGATACTAGCTCTGAATTGCCTTCATGAACATTACAGATGTCACGTGTATCTTAGACACAAATGGAAAATGGAATGGCAAGTTACAAACTGCACTTCACTCTTAGTCCATTTTTATTCATATCAATGACCACCTTGCTTTATAAACATTCCCTTTCAAACAAATGGGACTGTGTCGTGGTTTAAACACAGGCAGACAGCTTGTTCACTCACTCCCCCCACCCCTTCTTGCCCTCCCCCTACTCCCGGAGGGATGGGAAGGAGGATCAAAAGAATGCAACTCCCACGGCTTGAGATAAGAACAGTTTAGTAACTAAGGTATAACACAAATCACTGCTGCTACCACCAATAATAATGATGATAAAGGAAATAACAAAGGAAGAGAATATACCACCTCACCACCAGCCGACCGATAACTCCCCCCTCCCAGCCCAGCCAAGCACCGACCGATACTTCCTCCAACCCTGCCATCCTAGTCCTTCCAGGTAACTCTCCGTTACATCCTGGGCATGACGTGCTGTGGTATGGAATACTTCTTAGGTCAGTTTGGGTCAGGTGTCCTGTCTCTGCTTCCTCCCGGCTTCCCCTCCTCCCTGGCAGAGCATGAGGCTCACAAAGTCCTTGGCCAAACCAAAACATCATTGTTATCAGCTCTGTTCCCAGGCCGAAAGTCAAAACACAGCACTGCACCAGCTACTAAGGAGGAGAAAAATGACTGCTACTGCTGAACCCAGGACAGACTGCACGTATCAAATGCTTAGACTTGTGGACTGTGGTCTCCAAGCTGTCTCTCACAAGACAAATGCAGGGAAATGAGAATTACCAGTTTTTAATGCACTGCTATTTTTCAAGCACCTTCTACTTCAGAGCTTGTCTCTGAAGCTTCATTCACATTAACCAGTAAATAAGTAGTCAGGCTGAACTGTGAGGCAGTGAAGTGCTCTTCTGGAGCATGAGGAAGAGATGCAGAATCACAGCTGTGGAGATTAATGTAAGGAAATCAAAGCTGATATATTGTTCCCTTTACTGGATATTTTTAAGTTCCCTGCTTCATGGGCTAAATTCATAACACTGTCATTGTTCTGAAGCTAATTGTGTTGAGCAAAACACAAAGCAGAATAATTCAGGTATTTCTTTCTACTCCCACCAGACAAAACACAGAAACTAAAGGGGGGGAAACAAAAAGTATGTGGAGTTAAGCTTTTATATTTTAGCAAATTCTAGACAGCCAAAGCTGAAAATAAAGGTAGACTTGCTGCTATGGGTGATTGCTTTCCCCTATTGTTTGAAGCCTCTAAATAAATCTTTTGAGACATTATTATTTCTTTTGTAATGTTGTAGTATGCATATAAAGTCAACTTCTCAACATCTGTGAACCCATTTCTGCCAAGCCTATGTCCTTCAGGGCCTGAAAAAAATGAACTGATGAAGCACTTGTTTCTCACAGAATTAAGTCCGTTTTTGCAAACTTTAGATTTTCTTTGGCCACTACTGGGAAATATTGTCATATATCTTTTGAAATTGTTATTCTTGTGGATTGTGTCTATAGTTTTATTAAGAATTACTTTGTTTAGGTCACTTGTAAAAAGAAACAGAATTAGCAGGGGGTTTGAAACTGCGGAGCTTTTACTTCTATGCTTTATTGCTCTGAGTAGCTTCAAATTTTTCTGGTGAATACCCTATTTCATATTTTATTAGATAAGAAGCAAACGTTTGTATAGGTAATAAGTCTTCATCATGTCTTCAGCATTTTGCAAGATGGAAGTGAACTCTTCCTTATGAGCTATTGAATTAAGGGGCACGAACAAAATCTGTAGGAAGTTCACAGTTCATTAAGAATAAATAGGAATTTATCTATTATATAAAACAAGAACGATTCTGTTATTTCTGTTGTCAACAGAGAAGTCTCACAACTGAAAATTTTGGTCTTGGCCATCCATAGGATCAGTTGAATGTTGAACCTGAAAATATTCTCCAGTATTTAAGTAAATAACAACTTTGTTTTAGTCAGTCACCATTGAAGAGAAATAGCTGATGTTAGCTCTGAAGTAATTGTTGATTTCTAAAAAAATTACTTGCTAACAAGTGATCTAATTTTTAACATTAAGTTGCTAATTTTGAAACTCAAACATAGCCTGGACTCCAGGGGAAAATAGTATTTATATTAAAATATTACATCTGTTCTTTTTACCTCTTAGTAAGAAATCACAAAGGAATGCTATTATTTTCTTCTAAATATATATTAATGATGACAAATTCCAATAGTGTTTAATAGCTAAGACTGAAAAAATCACTCTTTTTGAATCTCTATTTGTTCTTTAATGCTGCTTTTTATTTGCTTGTTTACCATTTTTTCTGTTATTAATCCATTTACAGTAGCAACACTCTGGGTGCAACATGGTTTCCAATATTCAGTAATTGTTGGCAAATTTTGAAACTTTTAAGCATATTAACAGAAGACGAACAGTTCTGTTCTGAAGCCACACAAGGCTTTTGATCAAATTCTCTTCTTTGGTAATTAAAAAAATTAATCTGCTGGCATGGAGGAGGTCTGGGCCACTCCAACTAACTTGTACTTCTGATGAACTATCAAGTTCATATTAAGTTTTGTTGCATTTTCTCATAAAAGTTTCTGTAATGCCACTATGGCCAGGAATTTTTTCATTTCTTCATGTAATAGAACAGTTCCTAAACCATAAGACACTCCTTAGGTTCATGACCTCGTGATATTAGTGATGTCACGATGAAGAGATCCTGTTTCTGACCTCACGGTTCAGTTTGTGAAGTGTTTATTGTCTCCAGTCAGAGTGTTTTCTTTCAGCTTTCCTTCACACTGAGTAAACATCTCAAAATAGCCTTAAAATCAGTGACATTTTGGAATGCATATTTTGATGTGGATGTTAGTTATGCAACCTGACTCTTTTAGGATAAAAACATTCTGACAATTTGATTGTAGCCTAGAACTATTGAGACTGCAGAAATATTTGACTGATGAATTGCTCTCCTGGCTACTTTGAGCACAAAACAATATCTGCTAAGCTATCTCTCATTTGATTCTCAAGAGATTATGGAATCAGAGAAACAATCCTCATAGAAATCATCCATTTGATCTACATTATGCCAAGCTGTCAAGAAATTTTACTAATGACAAAATATAAATGGAGTTCGGACTCTATTTACTTCATCTATTTTTTAAAACTATAATTTACTGAAAATATGGATCCCTAACAAATTTCTACCTTTCCCTTTATGTGCATTCATTTAATTTTTTATTATTTCAGGCAGGAGGGAGCAAGTGGTTTTGGTTTGGTTTTCTGGAGGGATTTTTTAACATCTGGTGTTCTTCTGCTGAGGAATAAATTATTAAATGCCTATTTTACTGAAGTCATATGACTAAAGGACCATTTTTTCAAACTGATAACACCTGCAGTGAGATCAATTGTTACAAAGAGATCATCTTTCAAGGGGCAAGGGTTGAAAATGGAATGAATCGAGCTCTGCCTTGAGTGAAGGATGCGTCAAGAGCTTATGGGTAAGCATTAAGGGGCAGACTAAGATATGTGGCACAGTTGTGTGCTTTACTTCAGCCTGCCTGATCAGAAAGAAGAAGTTGTTGGGCCTTCTACAGACAGTTGGAAGTAGCCTCACATGCACAGGCCCTTGTTCTCATGGGGGACTTCAACTATGCTATCTGCTGGAAGGACAACACAGCTAGGCACACTGAAGTACTGTGTCCAGTTCTGGCCTCTCCAGTTCAAGAAAGGTGAGGAACTACTGGAGATGGTCCAACAGAGGGCTATGAAGATGATTAGGGAACCAGAGCATCTCTTTTAAGAGGAAAGGCTCAGAGGGATGGGCCTGTTTAGCCTGGAGAAGAGATGACTCAGAAGGGATCTTAACAATGCATACATATGTCTTAAGGGTGGGTGTCGTTATGGCTGGGGCCAGATTTTCTGTAGTGCAAAACAACAGGATAAGGGCCAACGGGCACAAACTGAAACACAGGAAGTTCTATCTGAATATGAGGAATAACTTCTTTACTTTGAGGGTGACAGAGCACTGGAGCAAGCTGCCAGGCAGGAAGTGGAGTCTCCTTCTCTAGACATACTCAAAACCTTTTTTGAAGTCTTATTCAAAACACCAACTCTATGTGTGCAGGCTACCTATTTATACAGACTGTTAAAGTGACAGCTATTACTTTGATGATAAAAGACCTCTCAGCATTACCAAAGTAGCTCACACCTTCCTTCTCAAGAAACAAAGAGAATAATACAATGTCCTCTTTGTCCTTCCCGATACTTCTTTGCCATAACCAGATAATGCTAGTTTGCAGTTCCTGAAAGTTACTAAAGCCCTGATCTGTCTCAGCAAGTTCTTCTTTACAGAGACTCACAGAAGTGTTCCAGCATTACTGAATGCACCGACAGCTAGAATACTGTTAATAGTACTAGTTCTTATTTTTAAACAGCAGCCTCAGCATTTCTCAAGGATGACTGGTTCCTTTGCCATAACTGCACTCATGGTCTACCACCACTGCATGATTTTGATGACTCCAAATACCTGATCTTCTCAGAATGTTGTATTGCTTTTCTACCCTGCAGTTCAGTATCCAGAAAATATTTTCATCTTTTATTCCATCAGCATTCTGGTTTTCAGAAATTGAACAAAACAAAACTGCTTTAATATTAGCTAAAAAGGATAAACATGCTTTGGAGAAAACAACAGTTCTCAAGAATTCATTTTACTCTTAGCTACTTTGCAACTTTAGACAGTAAAAGTAGATTTTGGAATGCATATGGGATTGGTTTCTGGTGCTCTTTTTCATAACCCTTTTTTTTCCATATTAAAATAAGGTTATTATTCAAGATGTTAACCACTTCAGTAAGCACTGTGATACTGGTTTGTTCAGTGGCAGGGCTGCTTAGATTCTTTTAGGCTTGTAGGTGTCTAGTTTCTTGCTGATTTGAGTAGCCCTACTGATGTGGACCTAAATAACATGGATGTTAAGAGCAGAGAACTACAATAAATATTAACGGACTTTGCTCCTCTTTTACTTTCTGTATGTCCAGTAACATCAATATAAAGTTAGGTGTTTCGATAGAAATGGAGTACTCACTTTTGGCTTTTTTTCCTGTGGATCCAGTCAGTCACTTTTTCAGCCTAGACTTGATTTTCAGGCAAATTGAAGATTATAATTTTCAATAAAATGAGTTACCTGAGATAACTGAGGTGCAGAGGTGCAATATTTCACTTTCTTCATGGAGCTTGGTCACAAACACCCGCTCACCCCACAGTGTCCTGGGATAAGCAAAAGCAAGTGGCAAGGGAGTGATTGATGTATGTGAGCTGGTTCATCTCACACAACATGACGTAGTTCATATGTCCATATCTGACGTTTCACTGAATCTCAGGAAAGGTTTATTGCTGTGAACAGAAGATCCTTCTTTTGGCTCCAGCCCACCTGCAGATATTGCAGACAGGCCATAGGTTACCAACTGAGCTGGTTTGTTTGGGCCACCATGCTCAACTGCTCAAAAGCTCAACTGTTCAAAGGCTCAACTGCTGCCTGGTCAGCAAGCCTGGCCCCAGAGGTACCACCAGGACATCCCTCCAAGAGCAGCCAGCATGCCTGGAGGCACGTTATAGATCCTTCAAGTTTCCTGAATTTCTCAGCATAAATAATAATAACAGAACACGATCCTCAGTATTTACCTTGGCTCTAAAAGCCAAGCTCTTAATTTACAACTGTGATTTTCTGCAATAAAATAATAGATGCTGAAAATACTTCTGTGCTTGGCAGGTGGAAAAAACAAGCTGAGGAGATGTTATGGGCTGATACTTTGTAGCTGCAAAGCCATTTCTATATTATCAGATGTAAACTAATTTCTACTGTCCGTCTTAACGTCCTGCCATTTATGCTGTTTTTTTACTCTTTGCACTACTTTTAAGCAAGGCAATGACAGTGAAGCTCATTTTCTTAATGCCATATTTTTTGTCTCAAACACTGTGAGATGATATATTTTAAAACTAAAGCAATAATTCTTGTTCATCATAATAATTATAACAAATTCTGGCTACAAAACCTTGGCTTTATAGAACCTATGTGTGAGCAGTGCCAATTACAGCTAAAAAAATAACTTTACGTATTTGCAAGACTTAACCTTGAATAATTCAATTAGATGAAAAAATACATATGTTGTCCTAAATATATTAAGCAATCTACAGGAAATCTTGTACATTGCCAAACCTGCCCTGTAAATTGTCAGAAACTATAAAAGATTCACATATTTATGTAAGTTTCCTAAGACAGCAAAGTTTGAAGGGATTCCTTCCTGTACCTCCTCCTCTTAGATGATTTAATCCTTAGTGTGGAGCCATGAACAAATAATCTCTGTCCCTTGCCTTTCAAGCTGCGTAAATCGACTTAGGAACTGTCAGTTGGATATGTCACCTGGCCTCACCTGGGCTGTGATGCTTTACTGGCATCAGTAAAGATCTATCAGCCCTTCAGAAGGACGAATCTTGAGTTCTCTCTTTCATGCAGTAATCGCAGTATCAACTGTGATACAGTTATGTATTTGTAGCATATAATCTGGCTGTGGCCCACTGTCCTCCCTGAGACTAGCTACAGGGTTAAAATTAAGATTATGGGAAGTATTTTGCAAGGATGCAGAATACAGATTTCTGTAGTACAAGCAGAAAATCATGCTTGCATGAGAAACTCTCACATGGCTGGGCAAAGTAGACCTGCTTGCCTTGCTCTCTCTTATGTGATGTGTACTGCAGTTTAGCTTGTGTTTCAGCAGGGATCTAGAAGTCAATGCTGCTATTTTTTTTCTGAAAGGAAAAAAATAAAATCCCTTTTTGCTTTTCCTCTTTTTAAGATAGATAAATAATACTTGTAGTCAAATGCTTATATAGACATGTATGGGATGTGGGGGAAGGGAGAAGGTATCTCTTGCTTCCAAATCTTTGAAATCATTTGCCTTAAAGTAATCTGTAAGCATTAAGAAAAGCTTTGTCTGTTGGAGCAACACTTCAGTCTAGAAATCTTACTTAAACTTTATCTTTGTTTTGCAGGAGTACCTGAAAAGAAGGAAGAAAAAGCAACAAAGGCAGCAGAGCAAGGTAAAAAGAAAACAAAGTGTTTTGCCATTGTCTCTCTTAAAAACAATGGCCCGGAAACAAACGCCTCAGATTCAGACAGCTATATGACAACAGCCTTTAAATCCACTGCTCTGCAAAGTATTAGTCAGGGCTCTGCTGTATTTATCAAACAGGGAATTTCCACTGGGAAGCTGGCTTTGTCCCGCTTCCACAAAAATGTAACTCCCTCAAAAAGGTTGAATAGACTGCCCATTTCCACTTAAATATCCTATGCTGGGACTTTGTGACACACAGATCTTGCAAGAGGCTTTCTGCCCCTGTAGCTTGGGCATGGATCAGCCTTTAATATTCAGTCTTCAGAGTGACTTGCAATGAGGTAAAGGGGCAGAGGACCCCTAAAGTCAACTCAGCTTAACCCTAATGGAACATTAGCCCCATGAAGAGCCATGAAGATCCACTGCAGAAAAACTCAAAAGCTTTCAAAAGCAGAACTTGTAGACGTTTTTAGCAAAAAGCATAAGATTGGTATGAATGAGGCAGGAATGGGAATGTTTGGGAATCAGATCAGCAGAATACAAGAACCACATGTTGACAACACATAGTTCAGAAGGTCACAAAGTCTACATAGTTTCCTAAGCCAACCAGAGCAAGGGCTGGTCTAGACCCAGGCTAAAACAAAGCTTGAGCCACTGTGTGATGGTGGTGAATAGAAAAGGAGAATTAAAGCGTCTAGATAGCCTTGTAGCATTTAGATGCGCGTTTTCCCATGATATACAATTATATCTATTATTATTGTTGTTACTTTCAGCTTTTCCTGCATTCTTGCTTGTACACTTGTTAAAAGCAATTCATACTTTTTTTTAGGTTAGTATGGTAAGGAGCAAAGTAGAAAATATTGGCAGAAATACCCAAAGCTTATCAGCCTTGGCTTCCTTTATAACAATACACATCTTAATCTACTGTGCTTGTTACTAACTGTCTACCAAGGTGATTTTCATATTTACTCGTGCTCGAATTTGCAATTAAAGCTCTGATGATGAATTTGGCATTTCAGTCTTAGCATACTGGAGTTTTTCCAAACTTGCCAGTAACCTTCAAAGTGAAGTATAGCCCATACTTAGTAATGTAGTTTTGGTCAGTTGAGCTATTATCTCTTTCTTCAGTTTCCCAGCTTCAGCTTTACTCAGCATTACTTAAACCAGCACAGACACCCTGCAGAAGCTGTCAGCTGCTTGTTAGTTGTGATGGAAAAGGTTATAATTAGGTGGGTCTTAGTCCAGATTTCAGTTATTGTTAGTCTGGGTATCTCCACACTATTTTCCATTGACATAAAAGTGCTTTCGCAGCCACCTGCACTGCTTCCCTTCTGTTTGGCTACCTCATGCAGCAGTGAGGTTGTGTTTGCTGCAAGATTTGTTCCTTCTACAATGTGCCAACATTAGATGGGACTTTATTTGTAATATATTTCAACTGTGCCATAAAGTACACAGGCTCTCTTAAAAAGAGAGCAGTACAAACCATAGTTTCACATGGTTGGCATTGAGCAGGGATTTCTAAGCCCTTGGTTGTGATACCCACAGGACTCAAAAAGGGGACAGCAGTCAGCAGCAGCAGCACTATCTCCCCATAATAGCAGCCATCTAGTTTCTTCAAGACAAAGGAAAAAGAGCAATCTATTACAACTACTTCTGCAGCTACTTCCAAGTGCTGGCAGTAGCTCAGTTCCTCTGCTGCACAGAAGCAAACATAAATACTTTCAGACAGCAGTTGCCTCTGCTTCTCATATCTGCACAACAGATTGCCAACATGTTGATCACTCAAAGACAAATGAGCCAAAAAAACTTTCAGAAAGTTGTTGTTTTTTTTTTAATATTAGCATGTAATTGTATTTCTCATGGAAGAGTAAAATATAAGGTGATGGAAGCAGCTCTGAGTTATGTTTTGAGTGAAAACTGTACCTAATTCACTGATTCCAGGTATCAGAAAGTTCTGAAGAAAAGTGAGGACTCTTTGTTAATCAGGGATGTATGAATTCATCAGAAAATAGTTTTTGAACTTAAAGGTATTTTTGAGCCTTTTAGATTGAGAAATTAAATAATTTGTTCTGATAGCTACAGTCCATTAGGATACATGTCAAAAGTAGAGGGATTCAGAGCTGGTCAGAACTAGGATTTGTAATTTAAGAAAAACACTAAATGCATGGATATTTGCAAGAAAACGTAACGTTCATGAGTCTGTCTAGCAACTGGGGTGTAGCTTCATTGTTTCAAACTGGAAGGTTTTAGTGATCAAACATGCTATTGCAGTTTTGACCTCAGATCCCTGTGGTCTGGAAATGGACTAAATATCGCTACACCATTTCAGTTCACTGATCTTTTATTAGTAGTAAATCAAAGTTACATGTAACATTTTTAACAGTAAAAAGGAGAGCAAGAAGGTGGAGAACTGCCATAAGTGTCTAGGAAAACACAGTGCTTTAATTCTTTGTCCTATTTGAAAAATGACACGAGCAACTGTCAGACGGTTGCCAGGGAGACACTGCCTGTTATTAAGGCAACTGAGAATTAATATTTAAATGAAATGAGGAAAAGGCAAAGATTTTTTTATGAGATATCCAAGATTACCAAGAAAGGAATTAACTGCCATCAGTTAAAGCAGGTCACGTGAGACTGGTTTTTTTTTTTCCTTTCTTTGCGTGTCTGCAAGGTACTAGGTCTGAACAATGAATTTTTTTCACATACATTGTCAAGCAGCAATAGAATGGAAATCACTTTCAGGATATGTTTAAGCATTTTTGGACAACATATATTTAAATACATTTTCATTAGCTGACTGTATTAAATATAATTTTCTATGTGAATATGTATTCTAATATTTCCTTTTTCTTTTCTCTTTTCATTTCTCTTTCCCCTCTTTTCTCTTTCCTCAGATAAACAAAAGACGAAGCAAGGAAGTAAGCTGTCATTTTAAATAATGCTTCTCCCTATAATTGATAAAGCAATATCAAATCTATAAATGAAAAGAAAAAGGTATAGGAGCTCCTGCTGCTAGTCAGAACTGTAAATTATGTTTTTTTAGACAGAGTAGAACTGATGAAACATATCTGATAATAATAAATAATAATAATAATAATAACAATGGATATGTTAAGAAATTCTAGTCTGTTTATGCCAGTTAAGAAGTTTAACACCAATACTGTACATTCTTCCTTGACAAAAGGAAGAGATGTGTAATGCCAGCGCACAAAAAACCCACCAGAAAACCCTCAGAGCAACCAATGAACCAAAAAAAAGAAACAACAAATGAAGCCCAACCATTTAAAAAGTTTACCTTTATTATTTTACACACAAAATTATTCTCTCCACACCTGCTAGTTTCACTGCAGATCTCAGTTATGTGTTCTGATGTCAATAAAAGCTTAACACTGCAAATCAAGTATGAGAAAGTAACACAAGGTTCTTGTCATGGGATTTGCGCTACATGTTGTCATTTTGCCAGGTTATGGCAGACTGTCTAAGAGACCTCAGTAAGTTGAGTCCTACAGAATATTGCCAGTGTGTGTTTACAATTCAATTTGCCATTTTCATATCATTCATGAATATTTTTTAGAATTCTTTAGCAGTATGTATATTACATGCCATGCCATCCCAAAAGACTTTTTTTTTTTTTTTTTTCTCCTGGAGATAACAAATATCTCTGATATCTCTGAAAAACCTTTCCTAAGGTTTCTTTGTTTGGGGATCACATGGAACTTCAAGCTTCATCAGTAACAACTTAATGTTTCAGTCAGAGCTGTTTAACGCTCTTTTGTTTAAAATGCATCACTGTGGTAACATCTTCTGCAACAGTTTGGGTAACAATTTTCTTAATATGGAGGTGCACAACAACTTAGAGTTGTTACAGGCAGGCTCTTGAAAGTAAAGAATTTATAATGTGCATTAAATTATCTATTCTGGTAAAGGCATAATGGTGTAGGTTTTAGTGGTGTTACTTGTATTTTGTATTAATCACAAAATCATTACTTGAATCGTGAATCACCAAAAAAAAAGAAAAAGAAAAAGAAGACAAAAAAGAAAAAAGAAAGGTAGTGTCTTCCACGCTCTACCAGTTTTTATAGACACCATTGCACCAACCATGGAATCTCTCTTGGCAATTTTTTATAACACATAAGCACAGAAGGACAAGTTTTTCAGTCTTCTCACTGAGTTTTATTTCTGTTAGCATAGATTTCTGTCATTAACTTAATATTTAAAAATTGGTGTTGACTTTTTATTAGGACTATTAGAGATCAGCTCTACATTAGTTCCACTGTATGTGCTTCATAAACACCTGCAGTGTTTTTTCTGACTTTGAAAATTAGTGACTGAATCATAATCCAGTGAGTACAAAACCTGGAGGCAGAAGAAGGAGAGAAGGGGTAGCTTCTGAACAACAGATGTCTAGGATGTAGTGAGGCCGGAAAGAGACACTTTATTACAATAAAATTACACTTTTGACCTTGTTCAACAATACCTTTTCCAAGTCTTCTCCTTTAAAAATTTAATTGCCTGGAAGTATTGCCTTTTTATAAGCACAAAGTAGAAGGAGAAAAATAGTGAAACATTTATCCTTTGACGTGAGCTCCAACAGAAAAAGAGTTTCAAAGTCAACAGTACATTAATTTTTTTCTACTTGCTGGTTACTTCTACCATAAATAAGATTTTATTATTTCTGGATTCCTTCAATTCAGATTCCCTATTAGCTCAGTTTGTCTTACGTATAGCCAAATAGTGAAGCATGAACAATAAGATTGATTGATACCATAATGAACTACTAGACACTTTCCATGCTTTTGCAACAAAAACAACAACTTCTGAATTGTGTGTGCTTAAGACAGCAAAAAATCATCACTGCAGCTACTCACCATAGCTACTGCAAGTTTCATATCTGTCTGCTAAACACAGCCTCCTCCTCATTAAGTCTTGATCTTTCCTCTTATGTGTAGCAACCAGGAGTCTTCTAACAGAGTTCTCTAAGACCTGGCACTGAATTCCTGCTGAGTTTCTCAACAGAAAGATTGTTTTTTTCTTCATATCTGATGGAGAACATTATATTATTCTCTTTTTTTTTTTCCCCCAGAAAATACCTGTTAATTAGTATTTCTCAGAATGACATGTATATAACAGTATTAGTTGGTTTTACATGTATCTATACATATATAACCAACCATATATAGTTGGTTATATATGTAACATACATATATATGTATATGTGTAATCAGCAGTCAGATGGTTAAAACACTCACTTAACATGCAAAAAATCCAAACTCCAAGTCTCTGGTCCTTCTGAATAGCCTGTTCTGGGACAGTCTCCACTGTCTTTTTCATTTGGGTTGCAAAAGCTTTGAAGACCTTGGTTTCATCAGCCCAGAAAGGTGATCTCGCATACTGTCTCAAACATAATTCTTGGTTTTCTGTCTGGTTCAAATTATTTCTTATACCTTTTACAGGGGACTGCCCTCCCTGAGACAGTATCCATCAAGGATGGTGTGTCCTAGCCATCTTCACTACTTTTCTGCAGGCAGAATAAAAAGAGCTGTTTGTCCTCCTATTTGTCACTATTGTGTCGCTCTCTAAATTTGATATGTATCTGACCCTTAGAAAGAATACTTGCAACAAGAGACCCTTGGACTTGCTCAGCAAGAATGGCCAATCCCAGATGAGGACAGTAGACCACAGACAGCATTTATGGGTCAAAATTGGCCAAAGGTCATTTTGTCCTTTGTGGTTAAGACAAAAAACTATCCTGATACCATATTAAGTTGAAGCTTGCAAATTTTAAAGGTTTCATAATCAAATCAATGAAAAACATTTTGTGGACTGAACCCTCTGAATGGGAACAGGTGAATTCTGTACAACTATTCCAATCACTACATTTTTCGCTCTTTCTTCTAATGTAATCATAGTCACCCATATGATCTAGATGCTTCATTCTCTCATATGATTAAATCTCGTACTTTCACTCAGTGATGGCTTCTGATCGTCACTTTATCGGTGTGAATACATTTTTTACAGATCCTGGAAAAGAGAAAGAATCCAAATCTCCAGCTGCTACAAAAAATAAAGGTAACATGTCAGGAAAAAATTATATAAAACCCTAGGATCTATGTGCAGCAAGAAAAAAAAATCTTGCAATGCATTGGACATTTTGTTTTTATGGTAGAGTTTAGTTAGGAATTTATCTATATAATACTATTTAAGTTTATGATAAAACTTAATTTGCATTACCAGGATCAGAAGTGAAATAGAGCCTTGGTAATATGAAACATCTGTATGAAAACTTAGAATTCTAAACTCAGAACTTAGGAAAGCTTTGTTAATGTTTGGTATTGAAAGCTGCAAAGTGAAGTAAGTTTTGAATAATCTTTGTTCTTTCATCACACTTAAGAAAATTTTGTAGCTTCTCCTTGTGTGCATACTAAAGCTGATGAAACAGTTTTGTGCTACATTTAATTGGTAATCATGGTTCAGTTAGACACCAACAATTATTCAATCAATCATTATCCCAGAGGTATTAGATGTTAACCTTTTATCATTCTAACTTGAATAATAATAAAATTATTTTACAGAACATGCTAAAGAAAAGGAAGGAAAGAATCCTACAGCTTTAAAAGATAAAGGTAAGAATAAATAATAAAATATAAAACTTATTGGAAAACCACACAAAGTAGAATTAAAATTGTAATTTTAAAATAAACATTATAAATCTTTCCCATTATAAATCTTAACCAATCAACATTTAATGGGTTAAAACATATTGCAGGATTTATGGCATGGAAAAAGGGAGGGGGGAAAGGACATAAATAGAATATAGTGAGCTGATGCACATTCAGAAGTCTCAAAATGAATTGAATAAATATCACAAAACCACTCTGAGTACTAGTTAAGAACTTTCTTAAGAAATTGCTTCCCTAAAGAATCAAAGTCTTTAATAGGAGCCAGTAAACAAAGTCAAAACTGAATGCTTGCATAAATCTGTGGCTGTAGTAGCAATAAAGTAAAGTTTATGAGGATATGAGTGGATAATGTACTTTCTGGACTCTGTAAAATCTACAGTTAAAACCCCAGCTTCATCCAGACCCCCACCTAGAACATGAGAGTTGGTCTGAATCTTTCTTTTATTCCATATTTTTTAACAGTTCCAATATCTTTTTAAATTTGGTCAGGGTAAATGGTTAACTGAGATGAATTTCCTTTCACCCATTATTTTGCTGAGTGTTTTTTAACCATTTTATTGCTTCATTCCTTTCCAGAGATAGCTATATTTTGAAAGAGATGTGATTTATAGATAAACCTTATTTGACGTGTTCTTTAGCTTCTTCAGGATAAAAAAAAATCAATGTTACAGATAGACATTAATATTCACTCTAAATGACAGTCATTATAACCTATTTCAAATAAAGAACTGAATGAAGATCTTAGCTCAAGTGCTATGGAAAAATGAAAAGAAAAACAAAACCCAACCGAACGCCTAAAACAAAAGAAGGAACAATTTTATTGCTAGACATATTTTCAAAATCCCAGAAGCTGTGTTCATTCACTCTTGTTTAGTTAGGCAATCACTAATTAATCACTTCTTCATAAAAAAAAAAATTATAATAATCTGCTAATCCTGTGGTTCATGTATTGTTCTTCTGTGCATATCTACTATTAATGTACAGATGTTCCATTTACAGTTACCTGGACCAGAAATGTATATCCAAACTCTCCTAGGGTCGAATGGCCTTCTCCATGGACTGCTTGAATAATCTGTTGTTACCTCATGGGGCTGTGCCAAAAAATTGAAAGAAGCACTTGAGTGACAGCTCTGCCCTGTCCTTCTCTTCATGGAGTGGGTATGCCAAGCCTGCTGCTCCTTTCAGAGGACTGCAGGGAAGAAGGGGGAGAAAAAGAGGGAGAGAGGAAATTCAAACACTTTTCATCTTTGACAAGAGTTTCTTTTGAACTGATCGAACGGGATTTTCCAGCCCTGAACAAAGCTTCTGTAGCATGTCCTTTAGAGTGCCTCCAAAAGCGCTGCTTTTCATTTCCTGGGCTCATGCTCAATAGGTCAGTGACTTCAATCACTAAGTTATTAACAGGTCCTTCTAATATGGCAGAGTACCTTAGACCATTTCCACCCAGACGCCAGAAAGGGGCAGGCAAGAATTTATTCTAAATATCAAGTGCAGACCATGCTGTATCAGATTTCTTACATTTTAGGAAAACAAGGCAAAAATATCTGTAAAAAATCCCAATGTACTATTCAAAGTTTTACCAAACAGAGCTTCAGGCCACTTTCTTTACCTGCTGAATACAGTCATGTATGCCTAATGCATTACTGCCGCTAACAGCGACATCTCAATCTACTGTTTGACGCCGAATACAGTTGTAAACGCACTACAGGCTTCTGAACCCCTTCAGCACCATTGATGTCCAGCCCCCTCAGATCTTGTGAGCACCTGCCACATTGTTTCCTCTAATAGGGGTCAAACTTTCAAAGTCCAGTGCCTGTGTCTAAAAATGCAGGTGCTGATTAGTGAACGGGGTAGCTCAGTTCAAAATATACTGTCAGCAAAGACTCTACAGGAAGAACTGGCAAAGCTGGGTGGGAGAAACCCATAGAAATCTTAGTGGCTGCATTCTGGATCACCCTGCTAAATAAACATATATTTAGCACTATAAATCCCCCAATTCATAACCATATTTACCCAAACTGTAGCTCATATATTAGTCAAAGCCATACTTGCATGCCACTCTTTCCCTTCTCCATCATCTCTTAGAGCCTCTTCAGTGGGCCTCTGGAAAGGTGGACCAGATTTGGGCCTTCTTTTCACTCTTCACAACTTGATGTCTTAAGATTTGTTTCTTAAAGTGGAAGTTTCTAGCAAATAAAAATATATTTTTGTGTGTAATAGAGAAAATTAAGGGTTTTCAGGACTGCATATGTGTGCTAATTATGTATCTTGGTAGTTTGTTGTAATTCATGTAAGACCAAATAAGCATTTTTAGACAAGGTGTTAAATTGTTTTCATCATTAATGTTTGCCTGGCACCTTATGCAATAAAACAGGCATCATCATACCCCATTCTATTTAAAGGATGGGCTAAGTTTGGATGAATGAGGATGATGTCCAGACAAAAAACCTTATCATAAAGAAGGCTATTTTTCATAAACCAGTGCATAGTATTTTCATTTAAAGCAGTGACAGGAAAAATAGATCCCTGAATTTGGAGTTATCACTGGGATACTCTGTAGCTTGCAACCTCAGAATGTTATCTTATGTGTTTTATGAGGTGAATAAAATGTCTTCAGTCTTTGAATCTAATTTTATTTGCAGCAATTAAAGAGAACAGTGGAAGAATATACTTTCCATTGTCTTGTGAGAAAGGGCATCTCAAGACTCCTTCAAAATTCATAATTAGCTTTTCAACTTTTTCCTGAAATAAAGAGTAAAGAAGCTCAATAACTGCATTCATTACAATAATGAATATGAAAGGGAGGGGGGTGGGGGGGTGGGGTTTGTGTTTGTTGACATAAGCATATTCAAATAATGTGAGGCCACTGAAAAGCTAAGGTATAATTTGCCATGTGCTTTTTGGTAGATAGCTAATCAGAGTAGCAGCTCATTTATCCAGTCTCTAACAGTAGCACTAAAAGCTTATGATATTTTATGTATAACTCCTCACTGAGTTTTTCTAAGAAATTTGCTGGAATTGCACTATGTTGAGTTATTAAAGTGACAGCATTTGTGCTGTATAGATAATATAAATTCACTCTTACATTGTGTTCCATTATTTGTTTTCCAAACAAATGGTCCTTTTCCCCCTCTTATTTGGTTTTGCCATGTTTTGGGATATCTTTGCATCTTTTCTCATGTCAGTTATGTGTGGATAATAAGCCCATTTATTTTTGTGCACAGATTGGTAGGGTAAATAAGTCCAGTAGCGTGTATTTCTTTCTTGCCATATACATAATAGCACATTGTCATTAAAGAGACAAATGTGCTGATTTGCACTTGCTATGCCCTGCTTGTCTTTCCTTTAAGATAAAAGTAAAATGAAATAACATATTGCCTGTAGCATTTTTTATCTTAACTTATGACACACTTTTTTCTTTAATAGTAGAGTTAGATTGTGAGACTCATCTGCAGAAAAGCACTGACTCTTCAATTAATATTTCCTCCAATTTCTATCTACTTATTTCTTGTCATTTGCCTAAGAATGAGATTTTTACCCTGAAAAGTTCACATACTATTGCTGCTGTATCTTTCTATATCATCTTCTTAACCTGACCCAGTTTCATCCTTGGAGTAGGATGCTGGAGGAAAACAGCAAGTTGAAGGTTGGCTTTAAGCCAGCTGTATGTTTTTCCTCCTCTGGGACCAGCAGTAAAGTGGGCAGTCGAGAGCAAAAGTTTAAAGTCTTCAGAGAGTCCCTGTTCAAACTCCTGAAGATGAAAATGTGCTCTCTGGAGAGCAGGACTGGTGATCTCAGTAGCCTTGGCTCAGAGGGTGGGGAAGTCCTACAGTGACAGCTACCTCCACCAGTTGTAAGAGCCAAAAGTGCTGAACCTGCTTTAGGTGCTACAGATAGTAGGAAATATCAGGTAGGCTCCTTCAAAGGGTTTCAGTCTTCATACAGGAAGTGAATTTTCAATCCCCTGAAGGAGTCTACCTGCTCCTGTGAAGACCAGGCTCCTAATTTAAGTACCTATCCCTGAACATCTGATTTTTCCTACAAATTCAGCCATCTTAGAAGTGAACTTTTTCTGTTACAACTCACACTTAAAGCCAGATGGGTATGTGGGATCACATCCTGCTACCATGGCAGCCAGGAGGATGATCAGAGTTAAATTTATTTTGGAAAGGATCTTCTTTCAGCTTTATCTGTTTCACTGAAGATTTGGTGAACTTTCATTTGGAATAAATGGCATGTTTTTTTCTAGATGCTTAGGTGCTATATCCTGTCAGATGGAGTGCAATGGTCTACTCAGCATCTACACAGCACCCTTCAACCTGTGATATACTCTCACTCAAACCACATATATTCATAAGCCTATGAAATTACTTCCTCACTTTGGAAAACTGTATTTCCTCCTAATATTCCCTGCTGCATACACTGAAGAGGTCAGAAGGCTATTACATAATTTAAAAAAAATAATTAGTTGTTTATGTAATATAATGTATGTTTTTCCTGTGCTTGCTGGTCCTGAATACATGGTCCCTGAAGGACTAAGGTTAAAATTTAGGCTTCAGACAACCACAGAAAACATGACAATCCCTTCTGTCTTCATGAAGTTTTAGATAAAACCCTAAGAATTCATAATCCTGTGTCATGACTTGCATTTTCCCCTTCTCCTTTCCAATTTCTCCTTCCTGTGAAAACTCTACAAACAGTGATCTACAGTAACTTCTACTCTTGCATTTTGTACTAACATTATTGCACCTTAAAATGTATTAGGTGTTCACTTATGTTCAGAATTTTAGTTTTAATTTTTAAATATTTGTCTTTTTTTTTTTTAATTGTGAAGGGGCAGTCCTGTCTTCTAAGTCTCAAAAACTTTATTATCTCCCTACAGACTATTTGAAAGGAAAAAATCCCAAGAATCCAGAGGGATCAAAGGAAAAAGGTAAGTGAAGAAGTCAAGAAATTCAGAAGTTAATCGTATCAGAACAGCTATTCAGTGCTAGAAGGAGGTCTTGAGTAGGAGTATACAAGGATAGAGAATCAAACCCATCCTGATTCATGTTTAGATTATTTTATCCATTGTATTGTTTTTAACGACCTTTGTACTCTACAGATTCACATTAGGATTCCTAGTAACTACCTGGGCTTCTTTTACATGCAGAGATTTGAATTTGCATCCTGGGGGAAATATTAAAATCTATTTTTGAATGTTAATCAAAAATGTTCATCTTTGAATGTTAATCTGTCAAAAGTGAATTGTCTAAAAACTCATAGTGGGGACATTCCCACTATGGAGTAGGCTAAACTTGGACATGTGGCTATGTCTCAAGAATACAGTTGACTGAGAATGAGACAGGCTGAGGTTACTGACAGATCCAGGTGCTTGAGCGTGACCGATATGTCAGGGTTTTTTCCCAATTTGATGGCTGCACGGACATATATGTTTCTAATCGTTTCAGTTACAGAAGGCTGGCCTACAAGCTGTGCATGCAGAGGTCATGGATTATTCGGTAGTGTGTATTTGGAGGAAACCTTACTTGTTGCAATGTGACATGCATTGAACAGTCTTTCTGGAGAGTACTGGGACAGCTCAAAAATTTAACGGACGCAGCAAAGGCTAACAGAACTGCTTATGGTTCCTGAACTATAAAGGCACATCTGAGGTCCAACTTGTGACAGAGTCTCATTTTTTTTGGAAGCTGGATATACTCCATAAAGTCCAGATTATGGCTGGTATAGTGCAGAGTATTGAATAGACATGAAGCAGAATTTGATGCACTTCTGCGAGGAATGTATTAGTCCTTGTGAAAACTCTGGGGAATGAAACCGGGGTGCCACTTGAGGCTCAGGATTCTTCTGTTTGTCACTGCTGTCAGTCCATGCATCTCACCTGGGCTCCATAACAATATTATAGTTTACTTTTATTTCTGCTTAGCCAACTTCTGAATTGTCTTTGGTCCTTGGATTCTGCCTTGTCAAGTAGAAGAAAGAAAGAACTAGAACATCAGTGTTTTTTTTCTCATCTCCTTTAATACTTTGTCATACAGCGCAGAAAAATTAGATACGGTGATGTTCTCGAACTATTCGTTGTGACATAAAACATATGAATGTACATTCAAAGGATGAACACTGCTCTTATTTTACAACCAGCTTGCCTGTGATTTTAAAAGGCTATATATATGCAGGAAGTGAAATCCTGTTCACAGGCAATACCCATATGGTGTCTTTGATATCGAAAGAATAATGGAATCCTGAATGAGTAACTGGTCCTTTTGTCACTCCTGAATAAAAAAGTTCCCACTTCACTTTATCAGCAGCCTCTGGCTTTCAAAAATAGTGTTCCTAATATTTTAATTATATCAGTGTGGATTATTTTTTTCTTTGGGTTCAGCAAAAGAAAAATCTTTTGATGCCAACTGCTGTATAGAATTGCTTTCCTCTTTGTAAGTTATTATTCTTCATTTCCCACTTAAAAGACAGATTAACGATTTCCTCAAAATGTGAAGAAATTAATGACATATTGAAGAATTATTATTTTGCATATCCAAGTCTAAAAAGATGAATGAATGACCTTGTTGTTTTGCCCTGTTCTTTATTTCCGTGCTGTTAAATCCATTTAATTATCACATCCTTTTTGCTCTCTACATATCAAATTGTTTGACTTGTTTTCTTTTCAAGTGTCATCTTATTTCTCTAACCTGACTTGTGATAAATGTTAAATGTTTCTTTCCAGAGACTGGTAAAAGAAAAGATGTGAAGCCTCCAGCAGCATTAAAGGAAAAGGGTAATGTCTTATCATTATGTGGCTGGGAAATAACCAGTTGTCCTCATGAAAGGACCTGCTGGTGCAGTTTTGATATATTTTGAATTACAAGCTTTTGGTGAAAAGGAACTAAACCTAGCTTCTACTCACTTAATAAATCTGAAATATTGAAAGGAGCAGTGTCTGACATGAATCAGAAATACTAAAGTCATAAGCCTTCTGTGGTGTTCTTTAAACACTCTGACCTGCACAGCCAGTATTACAGTGGGAATGCTAGTCTATTCTGAGTGAATTAGTAACAGAGCCGTTGCCGAATACACATGACAAGCTGAAATGATAGGCTGCACGGGAATGAATGCATAATTTGAATTGCAGAAATTTTGTCAGGTAATATAGTAGGAATTTTGTTTGGTTTGCTTTCAAATCTTTAGCTGAGGTTCTTATTAAACAGAAATTCTAATTCTTAACACTTACCTGTTTTGCATATTTGGTTGATCTGGTGTTATGCATGTTTCTTATATTGGGCACAGTGTATACTTATGCTACTTATTTTCTGCTTCCTTTTTTGCGTTGGATATCTCTTCCAGACTCTTCAAAAGGAAAAGAAATGAAGGCTTCAACTATGGCTAAAGAAAAAGGTAACAATTCCAAGTTGTGCTGAGCCTTATCATAAGATACAGTTGAGAAAATAAGTCCATTGTGCAAGTATTCCCAAATGAAATCCTAGTTTCTGCACTTAGCCATACATAAATATCATTGAATGGCATCCTTTTCTGCTGGACATTCTTTTTACCTGGCTGATAAATGAGAGATACATTTGGGGCTAAACAAGCAAGTTGTAGCAGTAGAACTTTATAGACCCCAAAGTTATGAGAACTTATTTTTTTAATCTTAATTTTTGAGTCATTTATTCTGTTTAAAGTTGTCATGTCAGATTGAATTTTAATTTTCTTCTATAACACATTGTTTGATTGTGCTTTGGTGTTTCTTCATTAGAAGAAACATTAGCAGTAGCCATCAAATAAAAATCAATTACAATTTGTAATACCTGTCAAATGCTAGGCATTTTTTAGGAAATGATAAAACTGTAATTATAATTACTCAACTACTTTCATGTTTATTTATTCATATCAACTAAATTCAAACAAAACTTAGTTTTACTTTGACACTATTTGCATATTGATTAAACAGCACTTGCTCAACAAAAAGCAGTCTGTCGGGTTGAATGTGTAAATAATTTAACATGAGTAAGAAAATGTAATAACTTGCTAACTAATAACAGTCAGCTGAGTCATGGGAATATAGTAGTCAATGTTAAAAACTTCAAGTCGGTTTAGAAAATACTTCAGACAATTATACTCCCTACCTTTAGATTTGCCCTAAGGATCACTGGAAATAATGAGGCAACATTTTCTCTGACAAAGTTCTGAAAGGTAATATTTGCAAATTTTTAAGTGCAGTTTTTTCAGTAGTGTATGTAGATAGTATACAGCAGAATAGGAGAAATCCGTTATTACTTTGCGCAGTTGTACCATTCTGAAGCAAAGAGAATGCTTTGTTAGTGTTACAAAAGTAAATAGGGCTTAAACAGCCTGAAACTCTTTGATGTAGTCAAAGTAGATGAACCTGGGTTGCCAGCCCAAGATCATGGACATTAGAAAACTAGGGACCTATTACTGTACCATTTTTTTCAGTTTACTTTAGTCAACAGGGTGTACTGTGTTGTTGTGTCTTCTCACAGTCTTATAGTTCCTGCTTTTCAAGACACAAAACCCAAGATCTGAATGTTTACTGCAGTATGCTGACTTTAACTCCACTGAAGTACAAGATTACATTAGAGACACCTGTGATTATTCTGATAAAGAATTAATGGCTTGGATGAAGTCTGAACTAGAACTGATGGAGTTTTATAGTAGCAGCAGGATATTTGGATAAGCAATGCCATAATTTAGAGGTGACTACGCTGAGTCTGCACAGCCTTTACCAGCTTCCTACATGAGATGCTCACTACTCTCTCCACTTTTTCCTGGTGGCTGGCGCACAGCCTTGCATGTCTCCTGTGGATGTACTCGATGCCTTGCGCAAGCTCACTGAGAGCAACTCATATCCCACAGCAGTGAAAGCATTTCTTTTTTACTCTAGCTGGCTCTATAAGAACTTAGAATGTTTGGATTAGATGTTGTCAGACACACAATCAGGCCAACTGGCTTTTTTTAAGTCCTGTATATCTTAGATCTGTAAAGTAACTGTTCATAGCAGGACTGCAGATCTTTCAAGGCCCCTTGAGCAAGACTACAACAGAAAAGTACAACTTGAGTGGGAAGGTCTCAGTTTGCATACATGGGTATAGTGACGCCACCTTAGTGTTTGCAAAAGGATTCCGTCATTTTCTAGTCATAGATGTCCATGACACAGCAAGTGTTACACAAGCTCACTTTGAAGGCAGTTCAGCTTAGTGGCTGCAGGTTTTTAAAAATTGGTTTTGTCTTTTCTGTTCCATGTGACAGATGTTCATATGCCATTTCTTAGCTGATGGGATTCATAGAAATGCAGCACATCCAAAAGCAAATACAACTAACTCCATAACACTGAATATGTATGACAAGACATTGACATTTTGTCAGAAGAGTGTAGTCCCAATGCGTAAAGTGGCTTTAAGCATCCGTGTGGGATGCTGTGCTTCACTAAACTTCTTTTTTTTAACAACGTTAAGTGACACGGTGCATAGATCAGGCAGACAGTTTGAGAAAAGCCTCTGTAGGGAAAAGTGCTCTGTGGCTGTTGCCCTGTAAAGAAGCGCAAGCAGGAGGTCATGTTTATAAGCACTGGTTCTACTTTTTTTTTAACCAACTGAGAGTACACAGGAAGCTTTTTTAGTGGGCAACTCAGTATGAACTATCCAACCAAAACACACCTTAAGAAACAGCAGTGATTTGATTAGGACATGCCATTTTACAGAGATCTGTCAAATCCATTGTAAATTGCATTTCTAGAAGTGGCTACTGTGTAACCCCTTTGTTAAGACAATATTTTTGAAATGTGAAAGTCAAATCCATACAAGCTGGATATAGAATTGAAATAGAAAATCTTAAATAATAGAGAGGCTAAATGTAAGGTAGATATAATAGGTGTATAAAAATTGCAGTATCAGCCTGTTCAAACAGTCTGTCCATTACAGAATATTATTGCTGAACACTGTCAATAAGAAATACTTCAAGAAAGCATCAGAGCTCTAAAAGTCAGACAGTAAGATAATGACAGATACATAAATACCAAGACTGAGTCATAGTGGGAGTTATTCCTACTGTGAGTTAGCACTCCTTTGTGAAAAATCTTCAATAAACATTAGAAAACAAGATAAAAAGAACAAACATAACACATGTAATATGAATTAATACCATTCTATGAAAGATAAGATTTTCATTCCAGAAAGCAGTTTATATAAGTTAAAGATGAAGCATGTTTTACAGAAAACTATGAAGTGTAACTCTGTCCTTATGGTTTGATTTTTTATATATATTTATTTAAAGGAAAATGTTCAAGCTGAATAAGTAGCATCTGCATATATATGTGGAAATACACATTCAATAGTCAAAACAGGTTTGTAAATGAATGTCTGCTGACACTTAAGGTATTTCCTGGAGGTAGGGACTGTTATATGCTGGGACTCCCAGATCTCTATAACAGCAGTCTGAAAAGTCCTCTAAGTGCATATCTAGAACTTTTTATTTATATATGCTTACACAATAAATCAAAATTCTTGTTGCACAGTATTGTTTCACACAATATTTTAGATCAGAAACCAGGATTGTCTCTGATTGAGACAATGTGCTTCTCCACAGCTGACATAGTCAGGCTCCCTCTGGTTAACTGCCAAATACACTTTTCTTTGCACAGATCTAGGGGAAAACTGTCCCTCTCAAAAAACATTTTGTACTTCGGGAACTCTCTCTGAAAAGTGAGATTGTCAGAGAGAGATTTGCACCCCCTGATGCAGCAGAGAGATCAGATCCCTGAGTGGCTCTACCCCACTCGCTGGCCTTTTGTGATATTTTCAGAGATTTGTGCCTGTCCTTGGGATTGTGCTTGGATTAATCCTCATACATTTTAGGTATCAAGGACTCAAACAGGGATGGGAGAAGTCAGGTTTCTGCCAGTAGTCAGTATGACTTAGTTGTTGATGATAGGCTGGACCTGACTCCACACACAAAGGTGACTAGCTCAGTATCCACCCTCTTACCACCTCTATCCAGTGACTTCACAGGGGGCCTGATAAACCATGCAGTGTGAATCCTGATAATCTGAAGCAGAGCTTGCACACTTGTATTGCTTTAATTCTAGATAATGTGTTTGTGTATTCTCATTAAGGCATTGCTGGTAATGAAAACACTGTAAAATTTTTTTGGGGGTTATCTAGTGAATTACTAGGTCTGGCAGCTATTTCTTACAAATTAGGATAAAAAGGATAGCTAGGTTGCTAATTTGACTGCAACATCTTCCTTGACCACTAATAATAAAATGCATCAAGATAATTGAATAAGAAATTATTTCTCCAAGCCTGCTCATTAAAACCTGGCCCAAAGGATGAAAGGGGTAAGAAAGGTGTTTCCTGCCAATGAATGGGAATAATTCTAAACACAGATGCGCCAACAAATTTAAAGGCTAATTTCTCTCTGTTGTTAAGTATACTGGTTCTTTTAACTGTGGCTTCTTGACATGATTAAAATTTTTCTTGACATGGATAGGAGAAATCCTAAACTCAGAAAGACTGGAACAGAGATATAAAATATTTGTTAGGAAGACCTGAGAAAGATGCAGCACTTCATACAGTTCTTAAATATTTTAAACCATTACCTACTTCTCAGGCTATGAACAGATGGACAATTTATGGTGAGATGGGCAAAGACAGTATCAACTTAGTGAATGCCAGCTGCTTTGCTCTAGCTCTCTACATGAGGTGGTTTTCACTTCAGCTTAGAAGTATGCATATATATGAACAGTTATCACAGAGTACCTGAAGCAGGGAATGAGCCTGCATTTGACCTTGTTTGACTGCAACTTACATGTCTATAACCAAATTAACGTAAGCAAAACTTCCGCCAACTTCAGCCAAATCAACTATTCTCTAAGTGTGTCAGGGTAAATACTATATGTTAAATTACATCAGGGTTATTCAGAGATTTTAAACTGAGTCAGAAAAGTGGTGAAGTCATAATTAAAATCAGAACAAAAACAAGTATCTGGAAAATCACATCACAGAGATATAGCCTGCATGGTATCTGCAAAAGGAAATTATATCTTACTAATAGTGTTTTAAATATTTTAATAGAGTAATAAGCACAGCATTTGTGGGATGGTTTAAATAGGTCTTTGGGAAGTTGCAGTATAGGAATTACTGCAGAAACTAAATTGCTGCTGCCTAAGAGGAACAGTATTTAAGGAAATAAATATCTGATTAGGAAGCAGAAAACAATTGATTCATTTAAATCTTGCAACCAGTTTACAGAATTGCTTATGATTCCATGTCTGGATTCATGTTATATTCCTTAATTAACAGGCAAAGATAGAAATAGTAATGTAATGAAATTTTCATATGACATAGTTAAAGAATTCAGGATCAGAAGGGGCTGTGATACACTGAATTTACAAGGTGAATGGACAGCGTGATGGCAAAGAAAATTTAATGTCAATAGATGAAATATATACTGGAGGGAAAATATTAAAGAAGAATTTATCTCTAAATTAAGCATGTAAATTTAGGAAAAGACTTCAATACTAATGCAGACAAGCCAGTGAAGAACTTTCTTCCATATGTAGATGTATTAGGAAAAACACCATTGCACAAATCAAAGATGCACCTTGTCTGGAGTGTTGTCGACAAAGGTTACTTATCATGTAAGTGCTAGAGTGGGCTAGGAAAGCACAACAAATGTCTCACAGAAAGGCAAATAGGAAAAATCCAGATTACCTTTTAGATTAATTAGTCTGACCATGATAAAATTGAAGATCACAAATCGAAGTCAAGGGATCTTCAAAAACACCACAGAGGAACTGGATATCTATACAAAATGGCAGTTTTCATAGTTCAAATTTTCATAATTAATTATTGTAAGTTTAGAAAGGGAGTTAAATTTCATGTGTCAGGATGGAACTAATTGCTTGTTATAAGAAAAATAACAGGAGAATTTCTGGAAGAAATCACTTATTTGGCAATATTTAGACTAAATATCTGTTCCTGGCTCCTGCTACATCACAAAGCTACATGGAACGGGCTATTGTTGAATAGGAAACAGTGTTTTCAAGATTTTTGGTCTTTTCTAATTATTTTCAATATTTCAGAAATGTTCCTGTTTGCTGAATAGTTAAAAAAAAAAAAGGTCCCTCGGAATCATCACTGTCTATGGGATTAAAGAACTTCTGGTGATCTAGTTTCAAGTTCTGATAAAAGTTAAAAACAATAGAACCATTCTGAAACTAATTCCCACCCCCCCCCCCCCATAAAAATACTTATTACTTTGAACAAGGTCCATCATGGTTCATAAGAATTTTTTCTACCATTCCCAAAACATAAAGGATGATGGTGCTCACTTCCAGTTTCTGGAGCAGTTGTCAATCTGGATTCATGATCCTTGAAAATGTGATATGTATCCTTGATGTGCATATTTTGCTTTGTACCATATCTATATTAAATGGAAGTGTGCAACTGGATTTGGATAGTGCTAGGAAACGAAGACTGTGATTTAAGGCCATTAACACAGTCTTCTTTGAACAGGTTTGTAGATAGAAAATTCTAATTCAAGGATAAGATGATACCCCTCATCAGTACAGTGCAAAAAATAAAATAAATAGTTGACTTAAGAATTTGCTCTTTCTCCAAATAATCAAGGTAAAAAAAAAAAAACACAGCCAAGAGCATCTCTCATATCAGAGCATCACATTTTCTAGTTCATCATTCTACTTTATTTCATGTCCTTTCCTTCCCAGCTACAATATATTACTCACATTTGTTCTCAGCAGGTAATCTGGCTCTTGATCAGTTGTAGACCAAATTCTTTGGGTAATCTATCCATCTTTTTGCTGCACTTTAGATATATTGCTCTGCTTCTGAAAGAGCAATGTAAAGGATGGCATTTTAGTATCTCAAGAATGTGCCCAGCAGTAGAAAAGAGGATGGCTCTTTTTCATTTATTCCCTGTCATCTTAAATTTGGCTATCAGGATTTGATCAGAACAATGCTATTGGCAACAGTAGTCAGAAGAAGGTTTCTCTGTCGTTTAAGATTTGTTGAGTATTTACAATATATTCCCTCAGAAAAAGTGTGGCCAAGGTGAAATTTCAAACAGATGTCACAAGAGGATAATCATAGACATTGGATAGATGTAAGAGGAGTTGCAGGCCCGAAAGGACTTTGCTCTGCTTGTGCTTGCCTCAGGCCCAGAACCATGGTGAGGCACATCCCATAAGATGGCAGGACAGAAATCAGAAGCACAGGGGTGCATTTGCATGTTTGCTTATAAGCCCTACCCAGTCTTGACATTTGGGGTTTCTGCTGATTTGGGGGTCCCTCTAACACACTTAAAGTGACAGTGTAAGCATGCCTTTCTAAAACCATGGCGGGTTCTATAGCATCTTCTTGGGGGAAAAAGTACTAAATCTGTAGTAATGACAGTTTTGCGAATGGCATGCTTCACAGCTTTGCTATGCAATATCACTTAGGAAAGCGGAGGGCCGTATCCTGGAAACCTTATCTGGTACCACTAAGTCTAGGCAAGAAAACTTTTTTCTACTGCTGGGCACATTCCTGAGATACTAAAACTTTATTTTCATTCTCGCAGGTGATTCTCCCACTTTAGATACCTCAGTACCCACTGTAGATACATGCACTATTTGCTTGGAATCCCAAGATGGCTTTTGGGGGACTTATATTTTGTCTCCAGATTTTGAATACTGCTCACACAGCACAGCTTTCTCTGGGGAAATAATTCCCTGTTATTTAAACTGGGGTTAAAGTTTAAAGCAGCAGTTTCCTTCTGGTCTCTTTTCAATCTTCCTTTCCACAAAACTTATGCTGTAGGATTTGCAGATGGGATCGCAGCATAATCAGGTCTTGTAAATCCTCATGTTAGGTAAAGGCTTAGAAACCTGAACATTATGTCAGGTGTTTTTTTTACTCATCTGTTTACCACCACAAGCTTTAATAGCAAAAAAGCACATATTTCTCTTAAACAAAGGATCTTCATAGCCTTCCTCTGAACTCTCCTTACACCTTCATGCCTTCCCATTCAAATTATTGATTTTGAAATATTCACTCTGTGCCTCTATTTCCCAGTATTAGTGTCTGGGATGAAAAATGACTTTGTGACTAAAGAAGTATGAGAATATAGAAAGCTGGATTTTTCTCTCATGAACAGCAGAGCCAGGTGTCTGTGAGAAAACACTCTATCTTTCTGATTATCAGTTTCTTCATCTGGCAAAGAGATCTATTTCTATATTGCATAATTATGTATGGTTTGTGACATGCACGCTATATATGCGTGCGTGTTTGAATTATTTTCACTGATATTACATATTATTAACTTCAATTGTGAAAATACAGTATTTTTGTTTCTGTTTCAGCTGCTGTGAAAAAGGATGGGGAGAAGAAAGGTAAATCAATTATTTTCCCTTGACTGAAGTGTCTTTCAGGCTGTGACTGCTGCGAGAAATGTTTCTTTTATTCAGTGATACAATTGTGATGACATACACCACCTCATGTGCTACCATCAGCCAGTTTTATCTACTCCTACTGTGATAACACAGTTGTCATTTCCAGTATTGTTAGCTCCTTTTTACCACAGGCCAACACAGCCCAGTATCAGACACTTCATCTTTCTGACTGGGAAGAAAATGAAAGCTCTTTGTTACCATGTTAGGATTTGTCAGAGAACAAAACTGGCAGTGCACCGTGTATGCTGACCTGGCTGTTAGTTCTTTGCAGAAGACCTTTCCTAGGCGCATTTAATTTCCTCCTTTCAGATATGTATGGAGCATGCACGTAATCTTTGCTGAAGTCTTTCTTTGGTATTTTAACAGATTAGTAGGAAAAATTGCCCAGAATCAGAATATAAAACATTACTTAATATGCTTAAAGAAAAATATACTGTATTTATCAGGCCCTAAATATATATATATATAGAATCAGACTTGCTGAGTTGAAACTTTTTTGTAATTTGTCAATTTTATTTCAAAAACAAAAATAATGAAATATTGGCATTAAGGCATTTTTCTTTAATCTATTCAACTTTATTGATTTTTTTTTTTTTTAATAAGCCATACCTTGTTCACTAAACTGGGAATGTTTCCAGAAATTTTCCATAGGTTTCAGAGGATTATTTCATATTCAGCATTGAGTAAGTGAGGAAAAAAAATGTCTCCTTATTTCTGAAGTTTATTGATGGGGGGACTAAGGAGGGCTAAGTGTCTCTTCTTGTTTCAAAAAGATTTGGAAATTCTGTGATTCACACAGTCGAACAATGGAGCCAGCCTTTACTGTCTATACATGAAGATGTTTCCCATTCTGATAATTTATTATTTTTTCCATTATCCCTACTATAGAGTTGTTAACTGAACTGGAAAAAAATTTATAATCTCAACTGTTTTAACAGTTCATGAGTGAAATCTTGGCTGTGCTGATGTTAGTGGCAAAATTCCCATTCACTCCACTGGAGCCAAAATTTCATTTCATGTGTTTAACTGAATAATAAAGTTCATTTTTATTATCAAAACCAACCATGCTTAATAGGGATCAGGAAGGATATTTTGTCCAAAGATTAATTTACAGCAACTGAGGCATGAAAGGTAGCACACAAAGCAGGGAGAATAAGAAAACTGGCAAGTGCACTTTGAGCCAGTGGTTTTCAGACATCAAAATGCCTTCTGTGTTCACAGCCTTCAATTTATCACATGGACTGTTACATCCTTAATGGAAAGAAAGGAGTGAGGTAATTGTTAAAGGTGCTACTTTAGTCAGGCTTCACATAGGTTATGGGTGCATTCATTTACAGAAGAACATCAAGGGAATTTGTTTGAAATACCTACTGCTTGGTTCATTTCTTTTCATGGGTTAGGATATTTTTCCTCCTTAACAATAATCTTCCCTAACAAAATTGATTAAAATATTAGTCTTTAATGTGCATGCTTTGAAGTTGGATCAATTTTTCCATTACATTTTCTTATATATTTTCTGCAAAAAACAAAATAATATTTTCCTCTGATTTCTGATTTTGTTGGAAAGATTTACCAACAAGTATACGTAGGATACTTTCAAGCACCTGGCTCAGGGCAGGGTGTACCTCATCTTGAGATCATCACCAACTACTCCACAGAAACATGGAGGTGCAGCCTGAAAGTCAGCTTTGGCCATTCTTAAGACATCATAATTTTATTTATTTTGGAAGTAAACCTCCCTCTGGTTTTCTGATATCATAAACTACATTGTCAGCAGAGGAAGTAGTGATTCTAGTGAAAACCATGTTAGTCAAATGAAATTTTCCACTAAGGAAATTTAATTCAGAGATGTTCCTGTCTTCAGTAGATATATACAAAACTGGACAAATGGAGAGAAGTAACAAAGCCTCCTCCAAAACCATGAACATGCCATGTTTTAGCTAGCTTCATACTCTCTGCAGGCCTAACATGGAAAGTATTGCTTATTATTACCTAATTTCTATTATGATCAGGTTTTATTTATTTCTGCTTATTCTGTTACGATAAAAATTGCTCCAGGGTGCATGTCTATTCCTCTGACTGGCAATAAGAAAAGGCAATGATGTTTGCTGGTTTTGCTTAGGGATACAGTATTTTTGCCCAGTTGCAAAAGTAATAGAAGTAGCCAACCAGAGCTCCAAACTGACTGGCTCATTATCCAAAATATATTGCAGTAATAGTATGCATAGTTCAGATACCACTTTACCATTTCTCATGCGAATCACCATAAACAGAGCATATAGGGACTGTACTGCATGCGAAGCTTCTCCAATTATTCTTTTTCCAATGCACACCCCTCCTCTAGAAAAACAATAATGAGCAATACAGTGACAAGCCATCACAGAAAGAGAAGATGGAATGTCATTTTCTATCAACGGTGCATTCTGTACATAGCCCAAATCAGACATAGAGGAGTTTGAAAGACAAAGAAAGAACAATATTAAAGTGAAGAAATCTTATGTACTTCAGTGATTCACCAAATATCAGTGATACTAACAGGAACCTTAAGGCACAATTTATACATGAAATTTACATATTAATCCTTTCTATTTAAAAGGTTAGCTCTCTAAGACATTGTGACTGAAGTCCTAAGACTTTGTGACCAAAGCTTCAGCTTCCAGCATCTGTTATGACTTCTTTCAATGTGTGGGAGAGAGGCCATGTCATAGAAATGTGTAAACAGTTGGCAATTCCTAAAGGTCAAGAGGTAGCAACTTTTTGCTTGAGTAAGGTAGTTCCTAAAATCCCCAAGAGCAAATCTGGCTATCAGAACATGGAAATTTTTAACCCTTGCTCATAATTCAAAGTGCTGCAATCAGGGATTCGAGTGAATTACAATACTCACCTGCATTGGTGATTTGTGACAAAGCCCATTAGCCTCAGGGCATCTCCAAAAAACAATAAATAGAGCTGTAACAAAAAAAAAAAAAAAAAAATCAGCACTTTTTCAGTTTCAAGTGCCCTCTTGAAACAAAAGGAATTTTAATATTTTTTAAATCAAACCACTATTTTTGTATTTCAGTAATATTTCATAATTCCAGAGAGCTTCGAAAACTCTTTGTGTGAAAGGTAGCCAGATTAAAGCCAATTTCAAGATTTCTTAGGTCTGCATAAAATGGAATATCTCATTTCAGTTCACAGTTCTTTTGCCTTATTGATATCTGACTAAAGAGGGCATGGACTAAGATAGGGATGTTAAGCAAGCACCCTTAGTAAATTCTCTCTCCAGGTCAGCTTGCCTTAAGATTCTTTGCTTCTGTGATTCTAGTGAACCCATTTAACCATCGCAGAATCCTTGTGGGTTGTGCACTCACATGCATATGTGTAATAACAGTCCCATTGTTTAAAGTGAATTGTGAACCTCAGTTGTCAGGAAGTTGGTTTCTCCAGGCTTCCTGCAGAGAGAGAAATCTTGTCTTGCTTCTGGGGGCAAGTCAGAATCCACCTCTAATTCAGGATAGTTGTCTTTTGGGAGTCCCATCTCCTATATAAACTACTTAGATGTTATGAGTACTTGTAAGCTAGTTGGATGCAGAAGAGAGTTGCCTGTCGCTAACATGTCTCCCGTTCTGATTTTCAGCATTATCACTCTGGCAGTTTGCCCTTCAATTCATTTAATAGTTTAAAAAAAAAACACATTCATCTGACAAGTTTCATTGGCAGTAATTTCACAGGAAGGTATGAAGGATCATGTTTTAACCTTTTCCTAATAAGCACATTATGGTGCAAAACACTGCATATAGTCTGAGTGTAGCTAATATCAAAAAATGCAGAAAATGGGTAAGGCATGTACATTCCAGCTCCAAACTACGTATTTTTGCCAATCCAGTAAAGGACAATTTCTTTCAATTACTCCTGGTAATAATACCCTATCCATTGTTTGTCAACTGCTGCTATGCATACAGAGTATGGTATAAACTGTCCAAGGCACAGCAATGTCCTTTGTCAATGTATATAAAAATCAAGATGCTTTCCAAAGTAAAAAAGAACTGGGCAGTAGTGCATTTCAGAACTGCTTAGCTTTGGAGTTGACCAGAAAACTGGAAGACAGCCTTCTTATTCATAGAGGAAATGGTCATATCAGGGTGGGATTTCTGCTCTCATCTGTGAGTACCACCAGTGCAACATGAACCACACTTTCACAGGTAGTTTTCTAATATGCCTAATTCTACAACTACAAACTGTATAACACAGCCTGCTAACAGAATGTGTACTCCTAAAAAGAAAAAAAAAAAAAGGTAGGGGACAAAAAAAAAAAAGGTAGAAGAGCATATTCTTAAAATGGTGTCAAAAATACTGTATTATCTATGGGAAGATAATAAAACCAGTCACATGCTAATATGATGTTAAACTAGCAGTGCTATTTTGACTACAGTTAGGATAGGCATCTCTCTCAAGAGGTTAAAATTACTGAATTAGCCACAAGATGGAGCTCAAAAGATCTTCAAGCCAGTAGTTAACATTCCTTCCTGAATCAGATTAAGAACTAAACAACATTGGTTTATTGAAGAACTCTTCATAGGAGCCTTAAACTACACACAAGGTGTAACTCGGTGTTAATCCGGTCCTACCTGAAGATTTTTTTCGTTTAATAGATGACTGGCCATACATTAGTATTTGACTTCCCAAGGTGAAGCAACAAAACCTTGGCATTTTCAAAGAATAATGATGGCTGGAGCATTTGAATGAAATGTGGAAGATGCTTTGAAAAGTCTGCATCATTTAGCTGAAATTTGCTTGACCTCTGTTCACCTCATCTCAGCTATCTTGGGGGTTATAAATAATTTATGCTCATTTTGCAGGGTTATGAGAGACTTACTGGTCTGTACAACCTTTGTTAAGTGATGGCCAGATCTTGAGGGACCAGGCTCATGTACTTTCCATGTTGCAGATATTTCAGT